ACTGGTCCAGTTCCATTTCACGATTTCACCCTAATACGATAACTCCTGCTGCTCGGCGACATTGTCTCTGCCCAAGTGGCCTTAGCGCCATTTTTGTCGCGCTTTGTCGCTTGGCGCTTCTGACTGCTGCCTGCTGACTACTGACTTGGCCTAATCAGAGTGCTCAAATCGCTTAAGTCGCAAATATTTTGTTTTTAATTTGCTCCACTGCCTTTGGAGTGGGCACACTTCACTTCACTTAGAAATGATTCCGTTTTAAGAAATGAATATAGAAATATAAATAAAATTTGAGTTTCCTGCTTTCAACTTTAAGTTCATTTATTTATTATCTAATTATATTCTCTATGTGTGCCTCAACTCCATGCTGACTGCTTGTTGACCCGACAGACAAATTTCATACAATTTTGCACCCAGCAAGTGCTATTCTCCCACTCCGACGGCGGCGGCTGCGGCGGCGGCTTCAATAATTGAGCAATTATTCATTCAAATGGATTGCCAATTTCGCTGGCCAGCCTACCCAGCGGAGAACGGGCTGCGCCCAATGCCAGAGCCAATTTAGCAACATTGCATCGCATCGGATGGCATCGCACCGCATCGAACTGCAATTGCGATTGCAATTATAAAACAATCACTTGTCCGGCTAGGCGGCTCCCGGTCGCCACCTTAACGGCTGACCATTATTTTGGGGCGGCGGCCACGCAAATTGTGCTTACTTAATAAGTCGTACAACCTGCTAATGTGAGCAATTTACCAAAGGAACGCGCTGCGCCAGCTACCGTAGCCAGACACATGCACATGCAGCAGCAGCAGGCTGGGTACGGCCTGGTCTAAACTGTGGGCCGTCCTCGCGCATGCGCAAAACGCGATTGCAATCAGCAGTAGCCAGATACAGGGACCAAGACGTGCTGTGGCCAGGCTGTGGCCAGGCTGTGGCCAAGACCGATCGCTCGACTAAGTGTGTGAGTGCGCACAATGAAAAGGTGCGAGCTTAAAGAATTTATGGGCCAGCTTGGAGACGTCGATAAGCTGGGCTGAGAGGTATGCGCAGCCGCCATGGTCGCAACGGCACGAAAAACAAAGTCGCTTGGACAGCGCACCTAATTATTATAAATAAACCAATCGAACAATAAAGATCTGCTGCCCAACTTTCCACGAACTGTGCCCGGCTGCCCATAAGAACTTAATCGCAAATGAGATTCAGAGCTGGCTTCGAGGAGCTGAGGACGCGGCCGGAGCTGCGACTTAGGCTGGCAACGCCATCGATAACACAATCGATGATGAGGCTGCTGCAATTGCCCCAAAAAGAGACTGCCTAACAAGCGCTTGCCACGGTGACGAGGCAGCGGCCCGCTGGATTAATCGCTGACATGGGCCATGGACTCCAGCTCCGAACTGAGCCTGAGATAACGCGCTGACGTAGTTAAACATATTGTAATTGCTGAGCTGCGATCTGCTGCTGCTGCCGTTTGCCAAAACGGGTTTCACAGCGGAGCCCAAGCCCCAGCCCCAGCTCCAGCCCCAGCTCCATCCCCAGTCCGAGCCCCAGCCCGAGCCCGAGGCAGGGGCCCACAGCCTGGTCATTGTTTGCCCTGGCCACTGTATCTCCGGCTTAGCATCAGATTACCACTCTATGTGCAGACAAAGGCAGAGGCAAAGCCAAAGGCAAAGGCGCAGCAGCTCGGCAATCAATAAGTGGAAGGCGTCGCGACATTGTCGTCGTCCTCGTTGTTTCGGCCTTTGATTTTTGTGGATCAGCCTCTGCAGACACAGCACAGTAGCCGTTCGATAATTTGCTACGGCATTCCAAGTGTATGTCTCCTTATCCCGCATGTCAATCAAGCTCCTAATTATTCTTTGAATGCAAAAGATAATTGGCGTTTCGCTTGCCACGGCCAACGATATCAATTTCAATATACAACAATAACAATAACATGCGAGGCCGACCGATCCCAAGGACCTCTGACAGTTTTCTGGCAATTATGACAAACAATAAGGCTCTGTGAAGCCGCAGCAGCACCAGCAGCCGCGCTGATGGCTGCTTAATCAACACAACTAAATTCCAATTAAGTCAATGAAGAGCAGCCCCTAAAAGCGAACTGCCTCAATAATTCTGACAACTTACTGCTAAGTGTCGAGACGAGCGATGCTAGCAGATTGGACTTGAGACAGTTGCTACATATATTAAAATAATATTATTCGTTATTGTACAAATTTTATAATAATGTAGATATTATTATTATTATTTTAATATATTATTTGTAGTTGTTCATCCTCTTCAACTCTGTTGAAGCTGTAGACCTCAACTTTATATTTCAGCTTACGTCCGGATAGAGATTCACTATATTTTTAATTTAATTTTTGGTTTACTAAAGGTTTGCTTATAATAATTATAAGGTTTGTTTATAATCTAAAGAAAAGAGATTTCAATAGGTGAGTATGATGTTGCATGATAATGTATGATAATGTAGGATGATGTATGATGTTGTAAGATGCCGCATGATGTTTTATGATTTTGTAAGATTATGTTGTATGATGTTGTAAGATGATGTATGTTAATGTATGATTATACATGATGTTGCATAATGATGTATGATGTATGATTATCTGGAATGATGTGATTTTAGCATTGAGTTTAAGGTTTTATTTAGTTCATAGTTTTCAAATGTAGAGATTGAAGTACTTCCTTTATCAAAGATCTAGACTTAATGAAAACTTAACTAAGAAACCCAAAATCCTATAGCTATATGTTGTCGAATCTCTCTGTGAGGCAAGTCTAATCAGCATTTAATGACTTCAAAGCGCTGTACAGAGATATATTTATTAACGTGTTGATAGGTTATCAATAGGTAGAATCTATTTCTTGATGCTTGGCAGTTACTATTAATCTTCAATTTAAGTTTAATAATTAAATGTTGCTTGAGTTCAGAATCGACTCACATAATTTCTATAATTATTTAATTTGAAAATCATTCGATTAGCGTTTAACTTTTGTTTCGATTCCGATCACGATTTCCATGATATACCATATTCCATTTTCCATTCTTGTCAGCTTTGAGTGCGGCAAGCATACTCATGCCCACATTAGTGGAGCGAATAAGGCCCCTTATTCATTTTAGCGCAAACATTATCATAAAGTTAATACGCCAGCCAGCCAGCCACAGAAGCTGGAGCAGCTAATTCATTTGGCATCCCAGCAGGTTGCCAGTCGTCGTTGCTATCTATGAGTGGTAATCATGCTGAGAACGCGTTGCACTCGTTCACGTTCACATGCGCATATGTTTCGAGGTGTGTTTGTGTGAGTGTATAGGAATGTGTCTGTGTGCCTTTGGGGATGTGTGTGTGTTAGTCCTGGCAATTCGGCGAAGTGCAGTCAGCGATCGCAGCACATAGCTTTAAGTGTAATGAAATCACACATAGACAGGCCTAGAGCAACACGAGATGGACGCGGAGATAGAAGGCAGCAGATCTTGGCAGAAAGAGTAAGAGGGACAGGAGCAGTGGCAGTGGCAGTGGCAGGGGGCACAATCGACACTTTGTACGTTACTTTTGCAGTTGTGTAAACCGATTGGCGCGTTAATCAACGTACAAATTTCCTACTTATATGGCCAGCGAATTAAATCGTTCCCTCGAGATCACCGACTGGGCAGCCGGCTGGCCGGGTTGGCAGCTATTGACAGCTGGCGATTAGAACTGGAGCGATAAATTATACAATTGCCATGCGTGAGACCTGAGCGCTGGCTAGTTGCAGGCGAAGAGACACGGGAACAGGTCCCCAGCTCATCGCCTCTGACAATTACACTGATTATATTAAATATATGAGGACCATATATGGGCCACAGCCATGCTGCCATGGGAGTGTTAACCGTTTGCCTGCCATGGCCATAAAGAAAATCTAATTTGCTGTAATGCAATTTGCTGCCCCGCCAACTATGCAACACAAAAATATGCAAATTACCTATGGTTACCTGGGCACCCGGTCAAATAACAAATAAAAAAAAATATATATATATATGAAGTATGCCCTGCATACTTCTTTGTTGAAGTGAAAAATCAATTAAGTTGCAGTTGAACCTTTTGAGCTAAGCACTAAACAATTGCGCATAATTACGAACGGCAGCTTAACTGCATTGCCTCAATTTGTGCATTTGCATAGAAGGGGGAGCCAGAACATGAATAGCAAATCGAGTCGTAAACGTTGAAAAGTGAATGACCCCAAAGTCAAGCAAATAAAAGCAGAGCTCAGCACCAAATTCTCAATAATATTCGTGGAATAACGAACTAAACAAAGTAAATTCCAAAGAATACAGGATTTAGAATTAATGGAACTCACGTGAGCAATCAGTTAAGGATCAGACTGTTTATTTACCTAAAAACCAAACCTGAAAGCAATACTTTGTATTCTAGAAAGAAAGAGAGGAAGTAAGGGAAAGAAAACACTTAGCAGAATCACGAACTAATGTGTAAAAGTAATGAGGCAAACCGGAAGTGTATAAAGAAAATTACCAAAGTGCAAATTTTCATATTCAAAAAGCAAACCATACAAAACAGTATAAGCACAAATTTTAGAGAGCATTCATTTAGACATTTTAAGCTTTGTTAACGTTGTATTCGCACAACACTTTAGTTTACTAGCGCGCACTACTAGCAATGCATGCGCAAAGCATTGTTAAAAAAGAATGTTTTGCGTAGATAATAATAAAAAGTATACTTTATGCCGAGTCCCGAAGTATGCGAACATATCGCCAGCGCCCGCCAAGAATTTTCCTAAAAGTTGTCAATAAAGTTTTTTAGTAGGCGACGCATTTCTAATACACTATAATTACAATAAGTAAAATTGTAAAATTCTAAGTAATAACAGAAAATATCAAATATCTATATATATATTTAAATATATATATATATATATATATATATATATATATACATACATATAAATATATATATATATATATTATTTATATATATATATATAAATAGGCTGTAAATGAGCTGTTACTATTGCTTGAGATTATAATTGTGTTGCAAGAAAATTTTTGAAATTCTAGTGTGTACGCGCCAAATGTGAGTCAGCTGATTACCACTCTGGCAACGCCATATTGCGTGATAACAGTATTGCAGGTCGCTGAATAACTATCGATAGTACAAACGATATCAACACTGATATCGAAAGAAACGCTCGCGAATTGCACTAAAGAAGCTAAGCAAAGGAAAAACAAAAATCCCAATTCAATTGTGAAAAAGTTTACTCTTGTGCTTAAATCGATTCTTTTGGTGTACAAAACAATCGTAAGTAGTGTGATAGATCGAAAGAAGCCGTAACGAATGTAGATTAGTGCAATCAATCTAAATCCTCAACGCTCACCTTCACTACCAATTGCCGCCCTCCCCCTTCCAATATAAAATATAATTTTGACGCACACCAACTTACAAAAACACACCAATAACGCTTGCACACGATTCTTTTCGCTTTGCGAAACCCAAGACGAAGGCCATCGCCAGCCGATTAACCAACCAGCCGAGCAAGCAACCAAAACACAAAACTCGCAAAACACAACAATAACGATAAAACCAACAATAACAATAATAACAACAAATGCGTGCGACGCTTAGAAGTTGATTTAGATTAAGTGAATCGCAAGCAACAGCAAACGCAATCTGCAAAGTCACGCCGCGTCAGCTATAGTTACAGCTCAACAATGTCCATACGGACACAGGTGCTCGGATTGGTGGACGTCATGATGCGTGTCCCGCCTATAATGGTCATCGATGAGATACTCAAGATCGGTATGGGCGTGCCTATTCAGATCGGCACGAACAAAGTCTACACAATGGACACCGACGCTGCAAAATCGAGCCAAACCGATGCCAGCAACAGCACAGACACATTCGCCACCATCAAAGCATTCTTTGGCATGGGCAGCACAGACTCGGCCAGCACCTCCAGCTCCATCAGCAGCAGAAACCAAGAGATCCTCGAACACACCATAGAGAATGCATCCAAATCGGCGCAAACAGGCGGCGTGCTTAGCCACAATTTCAACAATCTAATGGATGAACTGGCCAATGATAGCATTCTGGCCAATATGCTTAACATAACGACAGTGAAGTTTGTTGTCTGTTTACTAGGTGAGTATGCTGAATAGGGCGTTCACCGCAGTCGCTTATCACCCCACGACTGTTACAAATTGATTGTACTTTAAACCTTGTCTGGCATTTGCAGGTTTCTTATGTGCTGCTTGCATCTTCATGCTGTGGACGCGGCATTTGGTGATGGTGTACATGTTTCTAACCTCGCTGGGACTGACCTTCCTCTCATACTGGTCTAATGTAAGCGCATTGGAGCTTATGGAACGCAGTCCTTGCATACTGGAAGATCTGTTGTCCTTGAACACCACTAGACTGCTGGATTCGGGCGGGGTCATTATGACGCTGGCGCCACATATAATCGCTCAATGGGTGATGGGGATGCTCTTCGCCTATATTCATCTGGGCCCTCGGTTTGGGCTACTTCAGAAGTCTATGCCCATCATATTTACTAGTCCAATTCTGCTTGCCATGTTGCCGCTTTCACCGAGCATAGTGGACAAGCTGCCCGTGGTTGCGGGCCTTACGCCCATCATACTAACCAAAATCACGCTTATGCAAAGTGCCATGGAGGCAAGCAGAACGGTGTACAATGGTTACCAATATGCCATGAATTTTGTATCCAACTTTGGACTTTCGGCTCTCATTGAGAACGAGTGGCAACGTCTTAATGTGCCCAATGTCTTGCGCGTATTTTGGGCTCTCAAGTATGTAGCTTAATACTATAAATATTCTAATATTTATCTCCATTTTTATATATATATTATATTATATTTTTTATTTTATATTTTTGACCACTTTCTTAAAAATAGTAAGCATTATTTTATTTATAACAATTGCATTCCACCTTCATTGCAGAATCTTGAAATGTGCCTATACATTGATCACAGTTGAGTCGGATGAGCCTTTGATGCTATTCCCAGCAATAGAAACGCTGCTTGTTGATGGTTGTGGAACCTTAACGGCTGTGCTAGGCATGACTGGTGTCATCTCGATGATATGCCACTACATAGGACGGGGCTTTCAGTGGTATCTATTAACATATGACAACGACGAAGAGAAGTCGCTGGGCACTGTTTCAGCGGTGCTCTTTTACATATTGGCTCTGCAAACTGGCCTCACATCGCTAGCGCCGGACAAGCGTTTTGTCCGTTTGTGCCGCAATTTGTGCCTTTTGGTGACGGCGCTCCTGCACTTCCTCCATAACATTGTATCGCCCATACTGATGTCACTGAGTGCGGCACGAAATCCTTCACGCAAACGGCATGTGCGAGCTTTATCCGTTTGCGCTTTCCTCATACTTATGCCCGTCGGGCTGCTATACTATTTGTGGACACATCATTCGCCCTCCACATGGCTATTGGCGGTGACGGCTTTCTCCGTGGAGGTCATAGTCAAGGTGCGTACAAGATGTTAACATACGTATTTATCGTATTCATGTTAAAATCTTTTGTTCGACAGGTGCTTGTTTCACTGGCCACCTACACGCTCTTTTTGCTAGACGCTCGACGTCAGTTCTTCTGGGAGAAACTGGACGACTATCTATACTATGTACGTGCCTTTGGCAATTCGGTAGAGTTCTGCTTTGGAATTTTGCTCTTTATAAACGGTGCCTGGATCTTGGTGTTTGAATCGGGTAAGTTCTATTGTACTGATTGGCCTTGCCGTCAAATTACATTAACACAATGAGTGACGAAGCATTCAAAATTATATACATAAATATATATATGTTTATATAAATATACATACACACATATATATATATTTAATATATATATATATAAAATCAATAGGTTTACTCTGTGAGATGTGTATGCTTCCGTCAGGCTTTTTTGTTTCGTGTGCATGTAATTTTATTATTTGGTTGATTTTGTGTATCGATAACTATAACTTGATAGCCCAAAATGCTACAGGCGGCGCCATCAGGGCGATCATGATGTGCATTCATGCCTACTTCAATATCTGGTGCGAGGCACGTGCTGGTTGGTCGGTGTTTATGAAGAGACGCTCAGCGGTCCACAAGATATCAGCATTGCCGGAGGCAACTCCTGCCCAGCTGCAGGCCTTTGACGATGTGTGTGCCATCTGTTATCAAGTGAGTCTAATAATTATTTTTCGTTCCAAAGAAGCGTCTATATAAAATTCGTTTTATGCAGGAAATGTACTCAGCAAAGATAACGCGTTGCCGTCACTTCTTCCATGGCGTTTGCCTGCGCAAGTGGCTTTATGTGCAGGACCGCTGTCCACTGTGTCACGAGATAATGATGTACACTGACAAGGCCGACGAGAATGCGCAAGAAGCCGACCCAGCGGCAGCGGTCCAAGCTGAGCAGCCTATTCACATAAATCCAAGAGACGTAAGTAGTAAATGCCAACTCTGGGAGCCAATAATACATTATAGAACTCAAATCATATATATGCTAATCTTTACTACAGGACGCAACCAATGCTGGAGCGGCGCGTCGCTCACCGGAACGTGCTGCTGGAGCTGCTTCGGAAAATGGTGCAGCAGGGACCAACGCAAGTCCTGTCTCGCCAAGCGACGATGATGCGATAGCCAATTCGGCAAGTGAACCGACTGCAGAGACACGACCTGTTGTGGTCAGCAGCGGTAGCCATAGCAGCAGTGCCAATAGCAGCAACAGCAATAATAGCTATATTTCACCTTCTGGTCAGCCGCCGCCATCAACGGCTACTTCGGCGGCTGCTGTGGCTACTGCTGCTGCAAGCAATACGACGCACATATTTCGGTTGTCGCAGGATCAGCAGTGAATTTTTTGCAATTTCTAATCGTAATTCACAGATTTAACTGTTCTATGTGTTAGTGTACTTATGTAAAAATGTGAAACTTAAGCAAAACTCTCAGCTGCTTATTAATCGTTTCGGAAAACTTATTCCTCTACACCAACACCTCATCATCATACATACCTGATCACACCCACGCACTCGCACTCTCACACTCACATAGTCATCAAAAGGCAATTAAGTTGTTCGGCTTAAATTCAACACTAAATTAAATTATAATCATTCATATAAGTTCATACCTTTGAATATGAATACGCCGAATGAAAAGTGAATTCAATCACAGATCTTTGTACATTAAGTTTATGGTAAAAAGTTGACCCAAATATGTTGAAAAGGTTAGTTTTAAGTTTACAGTGAAATGGTGTTAAACAAAAAAAAAAAAAACAAAAAAAATCAAAAACAGCAGAAAAATAAATGCGGTGAAGTCTGAAAATGATTTAATCAAGTACCAAGTAAAAAATACAAACAAAACTAGTTAACAAAGCGCGCATTAATATTGTAATTTACAAGAAATTAAAATTAGCAAATCTATCTAACTTAATTTAATTAAACGAAAAAAGCGGATAAAATACAGTACAATATGTAAGCAATCAACAATTGCAGCTTAATTTGACTAGACAACAATATTTATGGAAGTTTGAACTGACTGCATAAGGTCAGTGGTTTCCATAAGATTTTAGTTAATTTAATTATCTTTGATTTTGCTTTCGGTGAAACCGTAGCTCACTGAAAAAGTGGCTAATTGATGAAAATTTGTTAGGCAGCTTATGTATAAAAAGTCAGCGATTTGTATCAAATTTGTATATAGAACATCTGCATATGTAACTTAATGTCAAGTATTTTGTAATGCAACATGTTAACCAAAATACAAATTGCCTTAAATCGAACAAAGTGGTTTTTTTTTTGGGTAGTTGCTTGCTCTTCGATTCAGTTCGGCATGGATAACTAGGATACCAACAGTTCAACATTAAACAATGATAAACTTCTGCAGAGAATTAATCACTCGGTCTTTAGTTGAAGATCAAGTCGTTATAGTTGCGCAACAGATGATATGGCGACACCCGACAGCAGGTGGTGGTGCGAACCACTGTGATACGATCGGCGCGCTCAAAGTTGGCCTTCACGGTCTCATAGTAACGGCCATCGCTGCGAACCATTGGAATCAGTTAACAATTTGCTTCCATATCGATTTAATTCTTACCTTAGGACCATGCAGCGCAGCTTGAGACACTTCACGCGCAATATATCAATTGCCTTCTGGCTCTTATCAGAGAAACGCAAGTTGTCCGGATCCCAGCGTAGCTCCAGACGTTCTAAATTGCCGCAGTTGGAGGCAATTGTGTCCATCAGCTGATCCACGTGTATATTGACGCCCAGCTTCTCAGCCGTACCCATTACTATTATTCTGTGAGGCAACAAATGGTGATTTGTTAACTGATCATGTGCACATCCGCTCTCTACTCACTTGCAGTTGCCCAGCATAGGGAGTATGCTCATCCAGAGCTGATCTGTAATGTGGGGCATGCCGGACAGACAGCAGGCGCTCAGCTGGTGACCGTGGCGCTGTAAAAACTTGAGCATACCCTCGTCTGTGATGTTGTCCGAAGAGTCCAAGTCTAAGGAGTTGAGGGATCTAAGGGCTTAAATTGATTAGTAATTGAATGTAACAAAGTGCAATAAGATTTTGACCTGGTATTGCCCTGCTCCATCCATTGCTTTAATACGGTATCGTTGAATCCATTGATTTGTCCAGCAGACAGGAACTTCAGATTGGGTATACGAGTCAACATGTCTACCAGGCACTCGCTGGTCAAGTCGGTGGCCGTAATATCCAGCTCCTGCAGCGCGCACTTATCCCATTCGACTTGCATCACAAACTCGGACTTTAAGCTGGTGCCATTCATCAGCAGGCAGGTCAGGCGCTTGGAGCGCTGCACCAAGGTCTTTAGCGTGGAGCCGGTCACCTTGTTGCAGAAGTTAACCGCCAGGCACTCCAGCTGTATGCAATTGGAGCTGAAGGCATCAATGTGTGAGTCGTCAATGAAATTGATGCCATACAAATTGATCACACGCAAATTGGGCGTGGCCGATTTAAGTTTGTGCACATTGATAACCTCATAGATCTCTTCTTCCTCCTCCTCGCACTTCTCGTAGGTGCCCACCAAGTGCAGCACCTCGAGGCCATTGATAAAGTTGTAGATCTTGCGCATGAAGCCTTCCATGAAGATCACCTCCGACAGGCAAATGCACATGTAACGCAGCTTAGTTGGGAAAGCCTGCATCTCGCTGAAGTCATGCAGCTGCATGGCTAGGTACGGAATGAAAGGTGAAATAGATCAGTTACTATTTGGTGAACCAATTGAATTACTTACCCGTTGAGAAGTCCAACAACATGTGGGTCAGATTCGGACATTTGGCCGATAGTTCGTGTAGCACCGTATGCGTGATCAGCTCAATGGGCAGCTCGATGTAGCGCAGTGTTGGCCCGAATCTCACCGATATAAGAGAGAGCAGCATCTCCAGAGATCCAACGTGCAGCCCCGACACCTCCGGGCGCAGCGAAACATTCTTCCACAGACGCGTATCGTAGGCGATCTTTCGCCAGCGACGACAGATCCGGGCCAGGCGACAAATCTCCCGATGCGACAGATACGAAAATATGTGCAACAGCACCTTGTCGGGCAGCTTCTCAATCGTCTATAAGAGAGATAAATCATATATATATTAACCTGAGCGATTCATCCCTATCTGGATGGACTCTTCCGTTCTATCAACTACCGTATCGGCGAAGGGGCTGCGCATGGTGCCATCGGATAGGTACACCTGTGAGGCCTCCACGGCAAGCTGGCCCCAAATATCGGTCGATATATCCATTGCTCTATATAGTATAGATGCTTATATAAAAGAAATATGCGAGTGCGAGCGAAACGCGCGTTGCCGAGCACCTTCAACGTCTGAATTAGCTGTGGCTACTTGCCGCTACTGTGAGGAATCTCCAAAAAGCGCACAAACATTTGACAAACTCTTTGCCAGGCAGCCAGGCAGCTAAAGAGAAACGCCATCGATCGAGATCCTATTTATAGATGAGCGCTAGTAATGATCAGAGCAACCAAAGCAACAAAATGCCAAGAATTTCTAGAGCAGATCACTGCGTTTTAGTGGTCAAAAGAGCGAAAAACTCTGGGCTAGCTAAACAGCTGATGGGTTGGGCCGTCTACCATATACCCAGTTCTTTAGAATTATATATATCTATATCTATATACGTATACTGTGTGCTAGATACATAAAGTGTATACAAAGAAGATATGCATTTCATGCTACGCAATCGTTTTTATTTGTTTTGTTTACTGCATGTTTTTTTTTGTTTCTGTTGGGAGGGGGTTTCTTAGCGGTACTCACCAGACGCGTCTTGACCACCGTCTCATCTCGTCCGATCGCCTGGGATGAGGTTTGCGCTGCCAAAACGTTCCAATTATCCATAATGTTTTGCTAATATTTAAAAAACTTGTGTGCTCTATTCTGGCTGATTGTTGGGGGGCTTGCACTCTAAGACCTATTGTCTGTATAGTATATAGGCATGTATATAGACAGGCATCGGCTTGTGTCGGTGTCTTTTCTGTATTGTTTCTATAAGTAGCCAAGGAATTCATTCAATTATCAATTATATTGATTATGCAAAGTAAATGTTACTATATACTACATAAACCGAATTTAATAGCTCTACGGTTACGAGAGACATCGACTATTACATGCTTCTCGATTTTGTTTAATGATCATAATAATATAGATAAAGTTAACTAAAATCCAGTGCTATCAAAATGACATTTTTTTTATCAATTTTCAAATGTGAAATTATAAATACACATTAATATATATTTTATTATATTACATATTTTTTGTGAGAAATTTGTAAATTTTTTAAAATTACATTTTTTAAATAAGAAATTAAGAGTATTTAAATTTATTTTAAATATGATTTAAAATATGCTTTTAAAGAATAAAAATAAAAAAACATATTTTTTTTATAAGTTTCGAGTTCTCTTCAATCTGATATTTTTTTAAAGAGTTTAATCTATAACCATTCGACACTTTTGAGACAAATGTTTTCTAATACAAATATAACTAAAAGCATAATACAGATAGTGCTTAATAATGATTTATGTTCAAAGAAAGGAAGTGCATTACTAATCTAAAACATCACTATGTAACTATGGCTATGTTAAGCATTTAATTCAAAATACATTATAGTATTTACCCATTTCGTACTCAAGTTTATTAATAGTCGTTTTTCTACAATGTTTTAAGATATGTATAAAGTAATATTGTTAAATGAAATCAGAATGAAGTTTATGTCTGCTAGAATGACATCATTGTACTATAAGAACTGTCTTGGGTCTTACGTACTGTAGAAAATAATGCGAAAGTTCTTAGTACAATTTTATAATGTGCTGGGAAGAAGAGCCGAAAGATTTGTTCTACCTTTTGGGCTATTTATAGGCAATTGTAGGTCTGCAATGAAAATTATTTGCGGCTGCAATTTTGCAATTTTGTAATTTTGCAATTGAATGCAATTTCGTAACGCCCACAGTTGAAAGCACTTTATGTTGGGTAACTGGCACTTTTGATTTCACTTAGGATGGGCAACTAGTTGCTAGTCTTTATGTTAGACAAATACTTTAAGTATTTGGCTTTATTACTGGGTTAGCCGTTTTTACACTCGAATTTGTTTCGCGTAGCTGAGAGTTCTGCGGCGCTCATGCAACTGAGATCAGGCGTCCGCGAAAAATGGTTTTAGCCAAAATGTACATGGCTCGGTCATGGCGGCCAGCCAGTACGCGGTACGGAGCAGGATGAAACAGCATGGGGCGGGCCGCTGGTATATGCGCGTCATTTGTTCTGGCCGGCAGATGCTTGGCAGGCGCGCTAAGTGATGGCGCCTGGCCAAGAACTCAGCATCTCAGTTGTTGTCATACACCTTTCATTCATATCTGTAAATACAAATTCTTGCATCGTGTTTTCTTAGACATGTCGCGTCATTTCAAATAGTAACGAACAGAGCTGCCAAGCTGTTTTTTACGTGTAACGCATGAGGCAGCTCCATACACGCAACCGTTGGCGAGCTCTCGCGCTCTCTCCATGTGCCAGTTCATCGCGCTCTCTCTCTCTCTCTTTTCCAGCGCTCGTTCTGATCGGAGCCAAAACAATACTAGAATCAGTCGTTTTATTGCTGCGCGCGCAGACGGTTGGTTGCCTATTGAATGTGTAGTGCCTGTCGACGTAGGTGTGTCAGCTTAGTGCGCTTGTGTAAGTGTATGTGTCAGCAGACAATTCCTGCCGATAAGCTAGTGTTTCTGCTAAAGTTTATTGGTCTTACGCTTAGTTTATTTATATTTTAATTAATGAAAACAGCATATTTTTAATTTATTAAAAACTGCGCAACGCCACAAAAACTGTTTGTTTATATTTGGTAGAGTGAAGCAACTGCAGTTGAGTTTGTGTGTAACGCCCCAAGAGCGTGTGAGAGAGCAAGTGTGTATGTGTATGTGCACGTGTGCGTGTGTGAGAGAGAGAGCATTGAAAGCTGCGCAGGTGTGCGTCGCTCATTGACGCCGACTTCGCTGCTCGCCCAAAGACCAACAAATGCAAACAATAAACAAATTTCAAGAAATTACTTTCCTCTATTAAAAGTCATTAATTAATTAAAATTCAAATTTTAAACAGCCCAGCCAAAAGAAAAAAATATAAAGCACACACCCATTCATTAAAAAGATGTCGTACGGAGCGGAGCGAGCGTTCTCCTATTTATATCCCTTTATCATTGGGAGTTCGCTGATCTGCTGTATCACCTCGGCAGTGGCCTGGTCGCATTGGCGCTATGTGCTCAACGCCTGTCCGGACACCAATTGCGGCTGTGTGCTGCACGGCCGCACCACCTACAACAGCTTCGAAGGTGGCAATATCGCCTATTGCCACTATGCCACCTATGGATTGCTTCTACCGATGGCCTTTGCCGTGGTGCTAGGCATATATCATTGCTATCGCATGTGCATCGGCAAGGGCCAACGCAAGGCAGGCACCACAACAATCAGACAGCGGTAAGTGCCGTACAATTCTAAGCAGACGTAGGTCATGCGGGTTAATCGGCAGCCACAGCATCTTGTGACACGCGCAAGGCTGGCCTAATTAAGCCTTATGCTAATGGGTGCCACAAATGGCAGATGACCGAAGCAAATGCGAGACTTTACACCAACTCAATTAAATTTTTTAAATGTTTATTACTCATCCGTTGTTTCCGTGTTTCCGCCTCTTGCAGCTCCGGTGACATGGTCGTGGTAACCACCGAATCGGAGCTAACTTCCGACGGCCTTTCCCCGTACTACTGTAAGTATGCTTTCTGCTTAATCAACGATTGGTTTAATTCTAGCGTGTTCTTATCTAGGGCTACCTGCCACGGTTATTTCGGTTATTATGGCCATTTACCAGTTGATCTATGCTGCCATTTTTACCGATGGATTCGAAGTCACCTGCAAACAGTATCGCGAGTCCTTGCTGAAGGAAATTCAAGGAGTTGGCAACATTGTGCCCGTGATCAAGGCCCGTTTGTCCTGTGCAGCTGTGTTTGATTTCATGGACTATCTGGTGGAGAGCATTTCATATGAGCGTCGTCGCTATGGGCGTATCAATACTGCTGCTTGTTTGTACTTCACCCTCATTCTATCCTGGTTTACCCTATTTGGCTGGATTATCATAAGTGTGATCAATATTGTGAACTTACGCAGAACCCGTTCCGCCCGAGTTTAAAATGCGAAGAAAATGACAACGAACCGAGACAAATTTCTCTGCACTTTTAACATTTTATCATATAAAGCATATTCCGCGCCACTTATTTATTAGATCTTAAAATATAACGTCCACGGCTTGAGCTGCCATTTACGCATTGTACAAATAAAAGTATGAACAAGTTACATTTAAAAACGATTTGTATTAATTGGGAATGATGTGCGCGCAATGCGAATCGATAAGTTTCAAAAGTAGCCATGAGTAACAACTACGATGGTATGCTATTTATTGTCTGCCTACGCTAAACATGACCGGATCAATAACACAATTAAGTTATTATATTGTTAAAGTTTAATTATAAGTCAAAACCTTTTAAAAAATAATAATATATTTAGTATCATTAACGATATATACGTATGAATTTACAACACTATAATATTGTAATCGATAGTTGGAAGCACCTAACATTAAAACATCGATAGTGCCTTCGATTTTACTGCTGACGTGCCGCAACCGAATTTGTTTACGTACAGAAAGTGCAAAATTGTCAGAAATCTCAACATGTTTGATATACAAACACATATGGTAAGTGAAATATTATGCAGATGGTTTCCCTTATTTCAACTATTTTATTTTCTCAGGACTTTGTTGGCCAGGCCAAAGCAGAACGCTGGTCCCGTATAATAATAACACTCTTTGGAGTAATTGGTCTTGTGTATGGAGCCGTTGTGCAGCAGTTTTCCCAAACCGTCTACGTTTTGGGTGTTGGCTTCCTGATATCTTCCCTGGTTAGTGGTTTGCCAATTTAACCTTCTCTATCAGCTAATTTGTATCATTCTCTTAGATTACGATTCCCCCATGGCCCATCTACCGCAAAAACCCGCTCAAGTGGCAGAAGCCGGTGAATACCGAGCAGAAACAACTGTCGGGCGATTCGTGTGATGAAGGCAAAAAGAAAAAGAAATAGTTGTAGATATATATATATATACATATAAATAAATAAAACTAACTTCAGTTAATCAAAACTCTTCTAGTTGTAGATATATGAATAAAACTTCGGTTAATCGTTGGTTAAGACATCAAGAATTGCTTAAATTGGACGACGGTACGATATCAGATCGTTGTGATCGTAGTACTTGTGTATGAGATCGTACATATTAGCAAAGAAGTACAGCAGATTGTCGTACTGCCCGTTGTACGGTGATTCCAGTTGCTCACAATCGGCAGGCGCCGCTACTGTTAGCGGTGCTGAAAGCTGATGGAAGCCCTCGGTGATCTCAAGATTGTCCAGGCCTCGGTATGATGCATTGAGTCCCCACGCATTCACGTGCATCTCCAACAGAAACTGATGTATGGCTTCGATGGTAGCCAAATACCAACGTGGACTTCCTCGCTGATGGCGCCAGAACTGGGACAAGCGATTCTGCAGTACTACCGTGCGTAGAGCACGCACTCGGTGGTCCGCATAGATGCCGCGACTCTGGTTCCAGGTACTGTCAATAAATACGGCTCGGCGTACGGGCAGATTGCCGAAGGTATAGCACTTGGAGGTTTGCTCCAATTCCATTTCTCCAACAATCTCGTCCATCCGGCGTCGCAGCATTGTGCCCATGTGATGGCCTTTGGGCAGGCCGTAGTTGTCATCAATGTTCAAGTGAACATCACGTGCAAAGAGCTGTGGCACCGTGAGACTCGTGGCACTAGGAAATATGAGCACCACTCCATCCTCCTGGCTGTAATCGGGTATATCGGGATATGTGTGGATGCGGACATTGTGGGGCGCTAGTACCGCCGCATGCGCTGCAGTGCTTTTGCCATCAATCTCCTTTTTGTGCTTGATGATGTCTATTTGCAAGGGCAGCTGCACCATGGGCAGCAAATTGGCCAGTTCGCCAACGGGAACGTAGCAATTGTAGCAAAAGAATTTGCGGGACCGATTGCAGTGGCGGCAGTTGTGGCGGCCCTCGATCGTGTCCAGCACTGAGTTATCCGCTATGCGCATATTGACAAACGGGTACTTGCGTGGTTTTCCCTTTGCAGCGACGGGATGTGTCATCGTCGCAGTCAGGTGTTCCTTATAAAAATACGTTTAATGCAGTATCCAAAGGAATTCTTCAAAAGCAGAAGCAATGTGTTAGAGTTGCCACATGATTAATTGAATTGTTGTGCTTTTATATTGCACATCTTTTTCAAACCGTCTGGTAGCACTAGCAGTGTTGTTAAATCAAACAAATATTTGCTTTCAATTAAAAGCTGCTTGCAATATCACTCCATCGAGCGCAAAAAACAGAATTTGAAAATTTGTTAATTTTAATTTCTATTTGTGTTTCCAATCAATTTAACTACACAAATTTAGCGCAACGTATAAAACCATCGCTGCTTGCAATATAAACACAATTATTGGCACCACAACAAATAGCATTCACACAACTAGCAACGTCCACTTCGCCCAGCGGCGTTGGCTGCTCGGCCGCCAGATCTGTCCAGCCTTTGACTTTGTTGTCGTAGCCACCGGAGTACAGGTAGTCCTCGTTACCGCATATACTATTCACAATCATGTCATGGCATTGCTGCAATGACAATAACAATCAGAGCCAACCGAACAGCTAGAGAAGCGATCAACTCACCGGCAAACGCCAAATGTGGGAGAACTTGTACTGCGGCAGATTATTGACCAGCTGCAGGCCCATGCCCGTGCGATCGGGAAATGCCAAATAGCTTCTTTTCCCCTCAACCAATGGCCCGAGCAGCGTGAGCGGCGACTTGCCAGGTATGACAGTCTTGTTGCTGTACTTGCCCGACTTGCCCTCGGCAACGACGGACACAACCACATCCAGGTCGCGCACTGTGTAAATGAGCTGCTGCTCGCCTGCTAAAGACTTGACTTCTTCAACCAAATTATACTTGAAGAGCATGCGATCGTTGCTCCAGGTGGTCACGACGCCCTTGTCGTCGCCCGTATAGAGCACTGTCCCAGCACAGTACATGGCCTGGATGGCGTCGTCGCAGCGGAATAGCTCCTGCACCGAAGCGTCCTCATACGGCGGCAACACGTACTTCACTTGGCCATCGCAGCTGCTCGAGTACAGTTTGCCCTGCCCATTGACGGCCATGCAATAGACGTACGCATCGTGGGCATTCAGAGTGCGCAGCAGCTGCAACGACGCGGACCAAACCTGCAGAGGGGCGACAGCTGAGTGGATAAACGTACTAGCCAAGGAGGCTTTTGATAATTACACGTATTTTGCCATCAGCTCCGCCGGAGAACAGCTGATTGTTGAAGTACGACACACAGGTGGCGTCGCCCTCGTGCGGCTCCGTTGAGGTGTGCTCGATGCGGGCGCTGGGCATCTGGCGAGCGATTCAAAGCAGAACTGGCCTAGCAGAAGTCAACGCGAATGGCTCGAACCAAGCAAATGGTATGCTCCCTATAGACACCTCTCTCCGGCAGCTATTTATAAATCTGAGTGAATTGTACAGTGCCCGCTAGAAGTCAATGCACCAAGTTCGTTTTTATACATATATTTTAAAACACTTTAGTTTCACAATTGAATTTGCAATTATTTAGTTTTCAGCAAGTAAATACATAGAAATAAATACATTTATGTATATATATATATATATATATATATATATATATATATATAATATAATATAATATTAGTCGAGATTGCATTTTCTTCGCATTGCCTTGAACAAAAGGTCGCATTAAATTGTTAACTAATTGAACTAAAAAACTGGAATCAATTCCCTTCGACCAGGTATCACAAAAGTAGCTTTAACTCAAACACATCGAAACCATATATACGTACGAAACTTAACTTAACTTAATACTCTTTCCTCTTGCCATATTCAGTAGGCAATTCTCTGGCGATTTTCTCGAATGTTTCTTTGGTAGATTGTCATTAAGCTAGACGCAGACAATAAAATTTTAAGTTTAAATTTAACTTTTGCTCTAATTTTAGTTGCAAGACGAAATTTATTTATTCCATTTACGCGCCTAACACAAGGTGAATACACAGATCTTTACTTTTTATAGATGCATAAGCTGACATTTGATCAGCTTTAGCTTTTTTTTAAATATATATTTTTATAATAATCTTTAGGGTGACCAAAGAAGTGTGAAGCTATTTCGAATGACTCTACTTCAGCAATTGACTAGGTTAGCAATAACAGCTGACTGTGAGCATGTTCGGCTGGGTTTGATCGTAAATTGCCTGAAATCAATAAAAATAATCTATTTGCCTATTCAATTCTTCTGCTCGCAAGAAGACTCGAGGTGCGATTGCTGTTGTAATAGCAGTCAAGTCAGAAGCAGCACTTTTAATGAAATTCCATATATAATGGCCTGAATGTGCCTTTAAAATAAAGTTAAAAGTAGCGCAATATCTGAATTAGTTTTGTATTTATTTTAATTTATTTTCCTATCGCTCTTAGTTGGTCACCCTGCACATGTTTTTAATTATTTTTTTTTTTCAGTTTCCCGAATTCCCTTAATCTTAATATTGATCTGCAATTTCATTCAATACTTTGATAGTTTCTTTGAAATGTAACTTGTTGAATGTTGAACATCGAATTTTAACTATTTAATTTAAGCATTTATCGCAATGGGCAAAGAGTTCCTACACCGAAGCGAGCTCTGGACCAGACACGTTGGCTTCGAGCGTGCACCGAAGTTTGCGTTTCTTGACTCCTTCGTATTAACTAGTGGCTCGTGCAACTGCTTCGATTTGTAGAATCGTATTTGCTTAAACTAGGGACATTGATTTACGTATTTATATTTATATTTGTATTTATGTTTCTGTGTGATATAGCCGTAGCTTTGCCTAACACTTAACCATGTATAATACACACAATAAATAAAAGACGTATACATAATAAACAGACGTTAGAGTATTGCTTAGCTCGCAAGCTTTAACTACGATGTTGTTCCGCTTGAGCAGAGCTTTAATCCGGTATTAGCTAAGAGCGTATAGCATATCACTTACGCTGGCATCGGCATTCAGCTTGCAGAGAGCACAGCATGCAGAGAGATACTTATAGACTCTAGACATAGTAAGCATTATAGGGATTGCGTTTCTCCAAGCAGGGCAGCACGCACTCCAGCGTGTTGCGGAAGGCGTCGCGAAAGTCTCGATTGAAATAGGCATAGATGAGCGGATTGAGTGTCGAGTTGAAGTAGCCAATCCAAAAGAGCACCACGACGACCACATCCGGGCAGGGGCAGGCGGCGCCACACAGCGACGTGATGACATACCTGATATATACATACGCACACATAGAGAAAGAGAGGGAGAGAGGGAGGGAGTGGTGTTGCCTTGGGCATTGCTTACCATAGGAAAAAGGGCAGCCAGCACAGCAGAAACACGCCCATTATGATGCCCAAAGTGCGAGCGGCCTTGTGCTCAGCCTTCCAACCTTTCGCGGGTCGCACCGAGCCGCCTGTTCGGGTCAGATAAAGAGATGAGATGATGAGATTTCGATGAGAGTTACAAAGCTGATAAGCTAAATTTGAACTTTGGCACAGAATTAGGACCGTTGCTGCAGCTGCACAAATTCTGTTCAATGTTGTTTCACTAGCTGTATATATAGACGTGTGTGAGTGTGTGTGTGTGTGTGGGTGCCTAAGTGTGGGTGCATGCTAAGAATGCCTCATATGCTTAGGCGTGTTATGCCATGTGTGACGGTTCATGTTTAACTTTGACATTAATATTGCTGCTGTAGTTGGTTGTCGCCGCTGCTGCTGCTGCTGCTCTTGTTGTTGTTGTATCGATGATAAACACAACCCAGCAATGAGTTTTTGTCCCAACTGGCCCCAAGCCACTTGGCTCGGCGCCATTTAAGCAGTCGAGAGTAATCGAGTTTCTTGCTCTGTGTGTGTAGAAGAAGTAATAAAAGCGAAGCAAACAATTGAAAACCTACAGTGGCTGCGTAGATACAACCCAGCCACACACACCCACGCACACCCGCACTCAGTCTCGCACACGTAGCAAACATAAACATAAACAGCATTGAAAAGTGAAAGTACATAAACAAAGTGAAACAAAATCCGACGGACAAACAGACAAACGGTAAGCAACAGGAGCTGGCAAACAAGTTGAGCCAGGACCTGCTCGCCCGAAATCAAAATGGAAAGAAATAGGCAAGGAAAGCAGAAGATGCACGTGCATAACGGTAGCAATTATGTACAGCAGCGAGGCAAGAGGCCCCAAAGCAGACCTCAAAACAAAAAATGAAAAAAAATAACGAACTTTAACTTAAGTTTTCGAGGGTTTGGTCGGAGCGTGTTGCAAGGCATTTGCCAGTTTGTGTAAAGTACATCAAGTTTTTTTTAAATATTACATTTAATTAGACTGTTGTTATTATTGTTTTTTTTCGGCAGCTTATATGCAAAGCACTGCCAATGATATGTCTACTAAAATATTTAAGCTCTGCGCGATTTATTGCTGTGCGTCCGGTTGAACTCAAACTAGAGACTTTATATATATTTATATATATACACTCCATATATACATATTATTTATACAATATCCTGTGAAATGTTAGCAACTGGAATATATACATCAAGGGATTTAAATATCGTATATACATATGACAAAATCTATGTGCATGACAGGACGATAATAGTCTTTATCTTTCACAGTTCTAGAGCGCAGATCAGCTTGTTTTCTATGTAGCTAACTGGTCCGTTCAGTAGGTCTTTGATTTAGTATTTAGTAGTTCCAGACTCTTACTAATTTCTTGCAATTTATAAAATCATTCCATCTCTATTACATATGGAAAAACTTTAATCTAGATAAATATATCTATAAGAAATAGGATATTCCGATTTACAACTGGCATATCTAAAAAATCTTAACAGTTTATATGGTGAAGGTAACCACGAGTATATATATTTAACATTTGAAGTCTGAAGTTGAAGACGAACATTCAAATCAAATATTAATTTTTTTTAATTGGACAATTTTTATACTGATTTAGAAAAATTGTTTAATAAATACAAGATTATATTTTAAAGTCTGTTTTTTTCTGCATATTCAACATTTTTGGTTATTAAGAAGTTAACTTCATATATTGAAATATATTAAGTGAAACAACATCCTTCATTGGCAAAGATTAGGTTGACCTTTTGGGCCTTGCTTAAAGCCAAGATTAGGCATTTAGAAAGCAGATTCCTTAAACTTTGACTTGCCAACATAAGTGTTTGTTTGGAATGCTGTTTATAAAAAGAATATATGCAACTGAGCCTTTATGTATTAATCAGCTATTATAATCAGCTTTAATAATTTACTTTTATTTTTATCTACTGAAGTTAAACTTTATTTTCAAATTTAATTAAAATTCTCCTCTATTTCCACTATTCTACTCCTTCTTCAAAGACAACATTTCGGAAAATAGAACCTGCTCTAATACTGCATGACGACCATCAAGGATAGGTAAGAGTGAGCCGTATTTACAAGTGTGATCGAGTTGTGGTGCGACTTTTGGTCTGTGGGTAGATGCGCATGAATGACACATAGATAGATAATGGGGAGTTAGCAGTGGATAAGCATGACAAGTACGCAACAGCAATGCGAGACAGAGATATAAAGAGCGAGAGAAAGAGAGAGAGAGAGAGAGCGAGAGGGAGAGAGCGAGCGAGAGAGCGGATGGGAGAGTGGTTCGGTTGGGTATACGAATGAGCAGTATGTGTTGCGGAGATGACAAAACAACTCACCGGTTGCACCACAGTGACTACATCCGGGTTTGAAGCGCTGCTTCCGGTTCTTGCTCTGCTGCCAACATGCTGCGAGCGCCGCCATTTGTCTGTGCCAGAAGCGTGCTCGCGTGCGCGTATCCGGCGCCGTAGCCGGATCGCCGGATCGACTACTACGTTTACTACTTGCTCTGATTGAGGTGTTGGTGTCGTTGGTGGTATTGGTGGTGGTAGTGGTGGTGGTTGTGGTGGTTGTGGTGGTGGTGGCGGTAGCGGTGACGGTGGCGTTGGTGTTCGTATTGACGGTGATATCGGCACCACAGAGCGGACACTTTGGCAGCGGGCTGGCCGCCTGGGCAAAGGTAATGCCGCGCGGCTTTTGCTCAATATTATCGGCCTCGTCTTCATCCACAAAAATGCAGATGCCGCCGCGTCGTATTAGCGAAGACTTATTCGAAAACTCGCGCTCTGTTTCAAGTTTTTGTTTGGAGGACGATCACAATTGGAGTTGAGTTGGAAGAGTTTTTGATATTGGTTGGATATTGAACACAATTTGATGATTTCATTAACATATATATATATATACACACACACACATAGATATATATGCAAGTACAGAAAGAGAAAGAGAGAGAGAGAGAGAGAGACAGGAACATATATATAGATACATTAAGATAGTAGATAATTGTGGTAATATTTGTGTGTGGGCCAAGTCACAAGACGCATGCGTGCCATGCAACAGTTAGAGGGCAAGAGAGGTGAAAGTTCGTAGAGATAGACATACGTAATACAGATAAGTGGAAGAGAAGAGCTTAGTATAGCTGTCTACACCACCAAAAAGTCAACTCAACTCATACAAAGGCAAGTCAACTGCACTGGTCCAACTAGGCGTATGCTTTATGTGCAGAACTAGCAATCGGTTAGGTGCAAACCTTGTCTATATAACCGCCTACTGCTACGCTCGACTAAAGATCTAGAAAGCGATTCGCTAACACATCAACTAAGCATTTGCTATGCGACGCATGGGCAACATCTCAACTGGGTCAGCCTTAAGGCAAAGTGCGTAAAGGGCCAAATTTAATCACTAAGTGCAGTGGAGAGGAACTCCTTAAAATGGAAATCAACAAAATTAAAACATAAAATATTCAAAAGCTGCCAGCACTTAGCGACTGCCAGCAATAAAAGTTAAGCAACTTTCTAAATGTAATTAATTAGCTGCTAATCGCCTACGCTTTAGTTGATAAGATTTTCTAGTTTGCAGAGAGACAGAGATTCGTCAGACTTAATAAAACAATTGGTGGATTTCAGCAAAAATATTTGCTGAAGATGTTAAGTGGAAAATTCTGAAGAAATTAGAATTAGAAAATCATTTTATGTATTTAATATTTATTATACAGTGAATGAAAGTTTAACGATGAACGGATTCAACTCAAAATTATAATGAAAACTTAACAGAAATTTAAGTTCATTTTCAGATAATTTAGTAAATGAATTAAAATTGAAATCAATTGAGAATTATGAGGAGTCTGTTCCAAGTTTCGATGAGCACTTAGCCATAATAATCACCCTGAGCGTGACCTTTGCTGACCACTTTGAAGTGCTGCCCATGCCTAAGTCACTAAGTCGGTCGGGTGGTGGCGGGGGTGGCGCTACTTACTTGCTGAGCTGGTGGAGACACGTCCCATGGGTATGTAGCTGCGACTGTCGCTGTGCTCCTGGGAGAAGTTGATAACGTTGACATCGTAAGTGACCACGGACGCCTGTCGTTTCCGCATTGTCTGAATGCCCTCGTAGCCAGTGAGTATGCTGCAGCGCTGTCGGCCGCCGGAAGCGCTAACATCCGCATCGGTGGTGCTATCTTTGCGCTTCAGCAGCGGCGATGTGATGTCCTTGTGCTCGCCGAGCACCAGGCTATCGCTGCCGTCCACTGGCGACAATGTCGAGTCGAGTATGATTTCGGGCTTGGGTGATATGTTGGGTGGCTGCTGCTGCTGCTGCTGTTGGTGGTGGTGTCCAGCTGTCGCTGGCTGCGGCACCGGCAGGTTGGTGACCACGTCCAGTGATACAGTCGATGTGTCACTTGGCGTGTAGCCGCCAGCGGCGTGCGGCGGCGGCGACAGGAAGTACACGTTGATGGACGCCGATTGTGGAGCGTTGGCAGCTCCAACCGCTGCGCTCACAGCTGCCGGCGTATTCGGTGGGGACATCATATAGTTGGCGCACACCTGATCGCTCAGCGTGCTCATGCGCTGCGGCGCCGCCTGACGCCTGGACCTGCACTGCTCGCCCATTGGAAAGCTCAGCGAGCGAAAGATTTCGGCCAGCTCCGAGCTGCTGGCAATCAGCATGCCGCTCTGCTCGGGCAGCTCGGGCGGCGACAGCGACGGCGGCGGCGTGGCCGGCTGCTTGGGCGACTCGGCAAAGCAGTCGGCCAGCTGGGCCAGCTCATCGCCGCTGACGCCGCTAACGCCCACGATGGCATCGTTGCCAAAGTCAATGAGCTGCAGGCCACGGCCATCCGCTGCACTCGCCGCATTCTGCTCGCTGAGCACGTTTATGTCCAGCAGTATGTCCGGCTTGTTGGGCGTCGAGTCGGTGTCGCTGTGCTGCCGCGCCCGCTGCTCAAGTTTGCGTTCCTTGGCGCCGCCGCTGCCACCGGCACCGCCGTTGTAGCTGTGCGACAGCTTGCGATTGCGCGACCGCCGAAAGAAACTGGAGCCCTCGGAGTTGGCCTGCTGTCGCTTCTTTTCGAGGGAGAAGCACTCCGCGCTGGAGCGCTTAGTTTTGGCCAGCAGCGACAGCAGATTGAAGCCCTTCTCCTTGCTGGGCAGATCGGGCGCCTTCGACTTGCCGGTGGTGCGCATAAACTCCGAGTCGCTGGCGGCGAACGCGCCCTTATGTCCACTGGCAGCCGCCCCAGACTTGAGTCGAATAAAGTCCGATTCGCTCAGTGCGGCATATTTGCCGCCCGCAGCGTTCGTCTGCCTTTTGAAGTACAAATAGTTGTCCTCGATGAGCCGCTTGAGCTCTTTGTTGTCCTCGGCAAGCGGCAAGTGCGTGTCGTAGTGGTCAGTCGTCTCACTCTCATCGCTGTTCAGGCCGAACATGCGATAGGCCGTTGACTCTGGCTCTGGTTCGCTGTTGCCGCTGCCGCTCGTTAGGCTCTGCTGCTGCTGCACTGTGGCTGCTGCTGCCACCGCTGATGTTACAGCAGGCAGAGGCGGCGACGACGTCATCTTCTTTGTCAGTGTTTCAGCCCATATTTGCGGATTGAAGACGGGCACCGGCGGCTGCAGCTGGCTGGGCCCCGGCAGCTGTTGCTGAAGCGCCATCATCGATGGCGCGCTGTCCGTGTGCGTGACCTTCTCATAACGCTCTTGCTCGAGGTCACGCAGATCAATGCTGCTGCGGCTAAGACGACGCGGCGGCGGCGATGGCACACGCAGTTCATCGCACTCGTCCTTATCGTCGTCCTCATCAGTGGCTGTCTGCAACATGTCCTGTGGAGCCGATTAAAGCACATTTAAGACAAATACAAGAGTAATTCTTGTGCCCATACTGGACCAACTGCTGTCATAATTGTTGATGTAAAATTAAATGAAATTGTGCCAAAAATAATATTCAATTTTGTTTTCAGTAGCTCGCAATTTATATAAACAAAATATAGATTTATTTTGTCTTTTCTCAATTGAAAACTTTTCATGAAACTAACTAAAAAACTAACAGAAAAAAGTATCTTAATTGATATGCATAAATAAATTCTTTCTCTTCTGCATTCGCAGCGAATACTATTTCTGTTTCTGTTTTTTTTTGTTTTAAAATCGAATTTATTTTTTGTCGAAGGGAAATTTTATTTTGCAGTTGCACAAATTAAGTTTACTGCTAGCTGCTACAATTTCTTTAATGCTTTTTCGTTTAATTTTCCACGAATTGAGAGTTGCAATTTTCGGAAATAGAGTTCAATAAGTAGAATTGTAAAAGGGCAGAAAATAAACCTTGGCAAAGCTGACATTTGAGCTTTTGCCACTGCTAACTGGATTGTGCCAAAAGTACCCACTCAATTCATTCGAAAATTCTATATAAATTCATTCACAATATTTATACACAGTTCTTCAATTCACCTCTTAAACTGAGGCTGGCTTGATACATTCGTAAATAATATAAATATTTTTCATATGCAAGTGAAAATATTATCAGACCTTATGGAAAATGTAATGATTGCCTTAACTGTATCAGCAGTGGTTAGTGGCAATGACAGTTCGATTACAAGAACCGCATATCAAACTACATTCGAAGCAGCTAAATTCAGAGAATCGCGATGGCTGATTGCGCACAGTGGAACGCAATCGTCAAACATACCTCCAAATTGCTGAGCGCACTGTTGGTCTCCTCTCGTGCAGCTTTTGTGCTGATGTCACAGTCGCTGGGATGCAGGTAGCTCAGGTTGGTGGGCTGCTGGGTGTGGCCCATGTGTACACTGTTCAGAAGTATGTTGGAGCTGGTGCGGCTTAACGCCTTGCGCTGACGCACAGCCTCCCTGGAAGCAGCAGAGCGCAAAATGGTTCGAATTATTAAACAATTTCACTCGCCTAGGTCGCTGGGCAGAGAATGGAGACATACTTAAAGATGCGCCAGTACATAACCAGCATGACGATGCCCGGTATCCAGAAGCTCACTGAACTGGAGATGAGAGCGTAGGCCTTGTTGACCACAAACGAGCACTGATCCGGATGAAGCGAAATCTCGCGCAGATGCTCGGCCGTTGTGTACCAGCCCAGGAAAATGGGCGTAAACGAGATGAGCGCAGGCAATATCCATACATTGGCGAGCATAAAGCAGACGGTTCGATGTGTCATATTCAGCGGATACTCCAGCGGACGCACTATTGCATAGTATCTGTTGTGGGGCAGCACAAAAACAAAAACAAGCTTAATTAACGCACAAATCGGTCATTGAATACTGCAGGGTCGCTGCACTGAGCCAAAGCCACTGGAATGTTATGGCTGAGTTAAGAGCAATACAGCGAGCAATCGATGGATTTGCATGAGTTTTAATTCCGAAAAGCTCTTAAATGCTTTTATTAACGACTTCCAATTGATGGGAAAGCAATGCGCACTGCAAAATATGGCAAGCAAATACTCTAACAAGATCTTTTAAACAACATAGTTATATTCGAGTGCGAGTAAGAGTGCTCTACTCGAGACTGCTCGATGAGGCTATAGCCTGCCCTGAACTCTGCTCGAGCTGAGAGTCCAATCATTGTAAGCTTCTATTATACATAAATAGCACACATAGAGGAATACTTTGAATTACATTTTCAGAGCATGGTAATGAGAATATGAAATATATATTAATATTAAAGCAAGTCTCTAGTCTTCAGAGGGGCAAACGGAGATAGCTAGATCGACTCAGCTTGTTATCTAATGGGCTCTAATATGGCTGCTTCTGCCTCTTACATAGTCCAACAATCACTTGCAGTGGGTTCAGTGTCTAAATAGAGCTCCTGCATATAGATATCTTAAATAACCAGCAAATACACAGACAGTCTTATCGAGTGATCAAGTACTGTATAGTCAGGCTGTAATTAATTAAAAATAATCTATCAGATGAAATAACTCAAAGGGCATTTTATGTGGCAGACGTTTGCTGTGTAATACAAATAGCGGCGGCTGCAGCTTGAGCCTGGCGCTTATCAGAAGAGAAAAATCAGTTGGAGTACTCATACTCAAGCTCGATAGGCATTCATAATTTGAGAATCGTTTGTTTATTGAAGTTTCAGAGGAATTTCGATGGGAAACATTAATTAATTTGGTTCAATTTCTTTCACGTTCTTTTTGTTGTTCTTGCTGCTCTTCTGTTTGGCCCGAGCCTGCGAAAGGTGTGCGAAATATAAATTAATTAAAGCAGACAAACAAAGGCTCCAGCCATTGGCCACTGGGCATTGGCCGTTGCTGCTGCTGCTGCTGCTGCTGCTGTTGTTTCTTTTTTTTGCCCAGTTGTGTGTCCCAGCTGCTGGGGCTTCCGCTTAGGCCACAGCTCCAATTAACAGTTACAGTCTGTTTGCCGGGGCGGAACGAGACTTAGGGGCGTAGAAGTTACGCCACTAGCCGAGTGGCCCATTGCTCGTGTGCAAATCATTTGGGCCGCATTCATCATACGCCCCAGCTCAATGTTTGCTTTTGATGTGCGCGCCTTTCACGGTAATTAATCGTTTCTCATTCGCAGCGCGCGCTGTGGTTTGTTGTAAGAGTGAGATTCTGGCCACAAGATTAATGGAGCCTCTATTTAAAGCGCCTTCAGTCGCACGCACAAATGTGTTTGTTGTGCGTTCTACATGGATCGGGTTAGGGTTAGAGCCGGGGAGGGCCATGCACTCACCTGTCCACCGATATGCAGCACAGATGCAGTATGCTCGCTGTGGAAAAGTATACATCCAGGCTGTTATATACGTTGCACATGAACGGGCCGAACATCCACTTGCCGCCAGACAGCTCCACGGATGCGTTGAATGTCATCGCACAGAGGGCGACCAACATGTCGGCCATCGCCAGTGAGACAACGAAGTAATTTGTTATAACGCTGCAAAACGAAACAAAGGAAGCGCAACATTAAATGGACATCGCGGTTTACGTTTCCCAAGACCACCAGCCAGCCGCCCGCCCAACCACCAATTGCCAGCGGCCGCAGCCGCAAGCCGCCCACACAGTAAAAGCCATGTCAAGCAAATGACATTGCATTTGCTTGCAGCGGCGCTGGCTTCGTGCGCGTCCCATCTCCGACTCGCATTTGGTCTCATTGCACATCATTTCCCAGGTGCAGTTGCCACCAGCCAGGTCGCCTTTATGCGGCAATTTCTCTATATCCTTGACTGCCATAAGTCATTCGCTTGACTAGCTATGCAAGTTGCAGTGCCTGGGCCAAATAAGTTGAGTCGAGTGCCGCGTTTATGCGCCAACTCATGTCACGATTTCACTTTTGTCGAGCTAAGTCACTATAAATGAAACTATTTCAATTCGCTTGCGCTTTAGGGCGTCTGTCCTGTTACTTATTAAATTTATGCACTTTTAAGCAACTGCACAGCGCGGCCAGCTCAAGGCAGTTGCATTGTCTTAGACGAACGTCCTTGCTGCTATGCTTAAAAGCTTTAGTTACCTAGAGGAAATTGCTGCTGCTGCAGCTGTAGCTGTCTGTGATGTAGTACATTTCATTTCATTTATAGAATTTTATATAATTTGAAATATTTTTCGTCTTTTCTTTTTACAAGTTTGCTGCTGGTTTCTTGTTTATACTTTCAATATATTAAGTAGGAATATATTATTGTTGCTAATATATAACAATGTTAATAGACAAATATGCAATATTTATATTGCTGATGGGCTCTCACACATATATTTTTATGTATAATTGTTAATATTATATGATGTGTGATACTGTGAAATTAATGAATGAGTAGAGCTTATTATCTTCGTTTTCCAATCTGCTGCAGTAGTATTCGTGGGAGGCTGAGAGCTTGCTTGTAGTTGTCGAAATATTTATTATTCGAGTGAGTTTGCGTCTTTGCTAAACGTTTCTCATTATTGACTTGCATCCACCAAAGAGAGAGAGAGAGAGAGAGTGATAAAGAGAGCAGTGAGTGAGAACCAGATAACTATTTAGGCTATTCGAGCAGCGTCGTTATGATCAGTGGACGAAGAGAAGCGACTAGAAATTGTTATTCTGGAGAAGTTGATTGAGGATCATTATTTAATGAAATATATAATGAAAGGTGATCAACACAAACTCAATTTATACATATTCAATGTTTACTTAAATATTGCATGTTAAGCAAAAGTGATAAGAGTCGTAGGGACTATAGTTGAAAAGGGCGTGTAAGAGGATACGCTAAGCTGTTATTTTTATCTTTTTCCATTTTAAGTGAATTACTTAGTAAATTAAATTTCAAAAGTTTTGTCCTGTTTATCACTTGCCAAAAAGAAAGCTTCCATAAAAAGGCCTGCTAAGCTCTTGCTCTCCCTTGATCAGTCGGTCCGAAAGTACCTAATATGCCATATAGTCTATCAAGTTGTACTCTATAAATATAAATATAATGGAATCTTCATAATTTACTTAAATAACTCCTGTGAGTTCAATAAAAAGTTGCTCTGTTCATTCAAATTCTGTTCAAAGTTTGTCCGCTCCGCTTGGCATTTCAAGTGGCACATAATAATAAAGGCAAGACATTTAACAAATTCATGACACTGTTGCTCGCATAAATGTTGCACAACAGGAGCTCACACACATGCATACATAACTGAGTTGCCCTCAATAGTATGCTACAATTTTGTGCATTCGCCTCTCCTCTCACCACGCCCCGCTCGCCTCGCACCTCTCTCTGGGGTGCCTTGTCATTGCCTACGTAACGTGTGTGATATTTTTGCTCACTTTGTGTTTCATTTTTCCACTTGTCGCTCATTTAAATTGCATTTACGAGTATGTAAACAGTTTATAAAGGGCTTCACTGTTGTTGTTTATCTTATTTATGCTGTGCTGTCGCAATTGTAATTAACTTGAAGGCCACGAGGTGAGCATTGTAATGGGCGCGTGTCTTTGCCGGACGGCAAGTCTTATGCAAAATTCAATTATATACCATGCCAGCTACCATATTAAATACAGATACGACATTGAGGCTAAAATTGATCGATTTCCGCGATTGCAATCATTCATGCCACCCTTCCCAGTCTCTCTCTGCCTCCCTCTCTCTCTCTCTCTATTTATCTTGAATATTATTGACATTTCTTTACGACATTTGTATATCGACAAATAGTCGCCTTCAAGCAACGCTAGAGAGTCATAAAAACTCTCTATGGACCGATTGGCTTACCGCAGTTTCCTGTTGCGCTGCACCGAAATAATGACCAGTGCATTGCCCAGCACTGCGGCCAGGATAATTGACGAAAAGATGAAGCCCTTGAGCAATAGGAGCGATACGTCCACCCAACTGTCTTCCAGCGGCTCGCCGGCTTCCAGCACGCTGCTGATGCTGGTGTTCGTGTTCCCTGTCAGATTGCCAGCAACTGTGGAGAACAGCTCCAGGGCAGTGGCTGGAGAGGATGGCAGTGCGGAAGATGCACCAGTGGCCGATGAAGTTGATGATGCCGTTAATGACAGCGAAGTCAACGAGGCGTCCACAAATCGTGTTGTTGTTTGCAAAGTAGTTGTTGATGGTCTCATAGTCGTTGTTGTTGTTGTTGTGGCTGTTGTTGTTGTGGCTGCAGCTGCCGCTGCAGTTAGCAGCAAGTTGCTGCTACTGCCATTAGTTATGCCTGCCGTTGTTGTCGCGGCTGCACCGCCAGCTGCAAGCATAGCCATCGATTTGCTAGGCCTTCGCGTAGCTGAAGTGGGCAATGCCGCCGCAGTAATGGCAGTGCTCGGGCTGTGCGCTGCTTTAGGCGTTGACATTATTTCGACTCACTGTTGCGCTGATTAAAATGTCTTTTGTTGCTGTCCTGTTTGCTCGGACGATAATCATTTTTTGTTCGTTCACATAATTGCAATTTGCAACGCAAACAAGCGACGAGTCAAAGCTCATACTCATCCGCAGCCCCATCAACTGACAATGCTCAGCGGCAACGCGGCCGTCGTCGTTGTCGTTGAGTGTTTGCCCAACGCTCTACCAGGCCGCGATGCCATCGCCTGCCAGCTGCCTCTGCTCCCCCCTTCAGCTCTCGTCTCTCTTCTGGCTTCTGTTTGTGTTGCTCGCAGTTTAACAAAAAACTTGGCCGTGCTTCGTTCCTAGCGCTCAGGCACTCAAACGCTCAACATCCAGCATCCAGGCGTCTGAAAATGAATAAATAAATAATGGGCAAAATAAGCGCATAAGTAAAACAATAGAAAATTGCAAGCGAAATATACAATCGGGCAAAATTTAAGAGCCATTGAATTTATTGAGCGGGCTGTTCCTGATATATGTATGTTGATGCGCCAGCAATTTGTTCGATTCAGAACCTGCTATCAGCCGCTCTCCACCCCAAACTCTACGCTGTTATCCTTCGGAATAACGGAAGTATATTGCGTATACGCTGTGTGAGTCCTCGGCATGCATTTTATTGAAGAACACAAAAAAAAGAGAAAATACATCTGCATATCCTCGACGACAGTCGACAGTCGACAGTCAGCGCACAGCTGACGTTCTGTGCTCGGGGACTGGCCAAGGTATTACCTTCTAATTTACATAGGTTCCAAGAGGACAAAAATTCGCTTTGCAGCTACATCCACATTTGTATCTGGCTTTATATTATTTTTTAATGGATGCACTTATTCTTAAGGCAGCTCAGCATCCTTCACTGCCAAGCATGACCTTTTATTGTATGCTCAACTTTATTTTTGTTTTATTTTTTTTTGATTAGTTGGCTTTTGCTATTCGCCCTGCTGCGAATCGATAGATGGATAGATAGCTACGCAAATCCACTTACATATATTTGCGATTATTGTTATACACATTTACTTATTTGTTCTGTGTGTATCTCTAATTTCATGCTTGAAACAAATTTCAAATTCCCAAATAAATACGTCAGAGCTGCTTTGTATTTAACTGCGAACTATTTGCATTGTTTGTGGGCGTTTCCACTATTGTCGAGGGATTAAATATAATTTTATTTTAAATATTTAGATAGGCACGTGTTCAAGTGCTTTTGTTCTCGCGTAAATATTCAAAATTGACTCCTAAGCTTCTCTTTTCATAAAAGGATATTGCAAATGAGCCAATTTAGAAGAATATTTTGTTTCATTTATGACTTAAGCTTGCCATGCTTTAATCTTTTATTGAATATTCTTTTTATAACATTTAACGAATGGATTTTAATTATCTTAGCTTGTATTTGGGAGCATAAAATGAAAAGAAATATTTGTTGACTTTGCTTAAAATTAAATCATAAATAAAAAGGACATAAGTAAAAATATTTTTTAATGAGTTTTTATTAATGCATAAATAGTGTGTAAAGGAAGCTCTGCTGGTTATAGATGTTGTTTGCTTACTAGGTTTTCGCTAAATGAGCAAAATATTATCAATCTTCGACTTGGCGCTAATAAACTTCTTTCAATAAAAGTCTTGAAAATCCAAATCTCTGCAAGTTTCTGACTTAATGTTAAACTCCATTTAACGTAAATTTGATAAAGCACTCTTTATATATATCACGCAATTTCTCTCTCTTTCTCTTCATCTGTCTCTTACTCTCTCTACCTCTATCTCCCTCGTTAATTATCTGTTCATATCTATCTTTTCATCACTCTTCTTTCTCTCTCTCTAACTCTATCTCTATATCTCTCTTTCTATCTTTCTCTATAGTTTTCTCTCTATCTCTTTCCCTTTCTTTTTCTCTCTGATTCTCTCTCTTTTTCTCTGTCTCCATCTCTTACTTCTTTTTCTCTCTCTTGCTCAGTCTTCAATCTCCCTTCCTCTGTATCTCTCTGTCTCTCTATCTATCTCTCCCTCTCTATCTCTTTTTCTCTCTCTTTCTGACTCTTTCTCTTTCTGTCACTCTCTCTTTCGCGCTCTCTCTCTATTCTCCATTCTCTCATTCTCCCTCTCTCTCTCTCTCTCTTGCCATAAACTGTCTCTCTGTTATCCACTGTCCATGTTATGAGATATTAAAGTTGAAATGCCTTTGACAGCGACAGAAATGGTTAGCAATAAGTTTCAGTCAGCTTGTAGGAAGGAAAATACATTTTTGCTGCCCTTCAGTATTTTGATTTCAATATCTTTTATGGATATGTTAGAGTCAGGATAGACAAGCCAAAGACAAACACACACACACACACACATAGACTACAAAATAGAGTGCTTCACAGTGCGATTATCCTTGTTCGTCCTTCATTCACCAGTTTAAATTGACTTGTCCGTTGCGCTTAGTCGACGACTCTGGGCTCTGAGCCATAGACTGCCAGGATTGGCAGCTAAATAACTTAATGTTCGGATTTCGCGACGATAGCATAGAACATCAGTCAACACTCAAGGGAAAGCACAGAACATATATAAAGCGGGTTAAAATTTAATGCAGCAAAGCAAGGCTTAGTGGCCCCTTTTAATATCCTGGATAAGTTGCTTTTTTGTCCGCTCTCTCTCTTGTCATTGTGGCATAATTAATGCCCTCGAATGGCTGACGTTGTGAGTGCGTTGTGCTGCCGGAAACTCAATAAGCCCGCTCCTCTTCCGGCAGTCGAGTTTACGCTTAAGCGCAAACATCAACAAGTTCCAGCTTGCTGGGTCCTTCACTCGACGCGTTGGTCAAACAGGCGCGCGCATGGGTCACTCTGAAGCGGCCACTGCCGTAGGCGGATGCAAAGTGCAAACTTCAAAGTGACGCGCAAAGGACACTACTAATTCAATTAAGTCCATGCCCGTAGCAGCCAATGACCAACCAACTGACTCACCGAAGAGGCTTGCATTTTGTGCGGCTATCAAGGACATGAATACCTTCCGAGGACCGTCCGACCACTCGCCCGCTCGCGCCACCACTTATCGAACATAAGAGGCTTAACTGCTGCTGGTTAGCAAACACAAATTGATAAAGCGCCCCGGAGCAAGTCATCGGACAAATACTAATTGTAAATATTGTGACAACTTCCACCGACAGCCGCACGAAGAGGGCGACAACGGCCCTTTCTGAAAATTCAATATGAACTCTGAGCTCAATTGACGGCAATTGCAATAACTACATCACTCTGTGGCTGTCTGAGTTGGCAACGGCTTCATTCATGGCAAGCAGCTCAATCTGTAGAAGAAAGAGGAAAATATTTTGCTGAAGACGTTTTCAATTGATTTGATGTTTGTAATGCATTTAGCAAATACAAACTGTGCCACTGACTCCATCACATGAATTCAATTAGCTATTGAGCGTGTTCCGCACTGTACTTTATATGTCTAATTAAAATTCTAGGACAATTTACAGCGTTGCATCAATAAATAAGGCCGGTCAAAGCGAATCCAGGAATAGCTATTTTATTGAGTTACTAAATAAATACATGTCACGGACGTGGGACAGCCATAGATGGTTCGGTTCGGGTCATGTTTGTCTGCATTTAGGTCAAATTGGAATTAATTTTTTAAATGTAGAGCGCATAGCCTTGTTGCAAAAGATGCACAGATAGTTTTTAGTGGGCGTGGCTATTCGATTTTTGAGTGGATCTAAAGAGAAAGCAATGAGAGTTTCACCAGCAGCTACAAACTTAAAGCAAACTGTTTTATTTCAACTTTTGAAGCTAATGGTTATATAAATTTAAACAAAGGTAAAAGTTTCTTACAGAAATGGTGACAGTGAGCAAGACTCAATGAATGAGAACTTCAAACTGGTAAAGATTTTTTTTTTATTATTATTTTTATTATTTTATTTATTTTTATTTGCAAACTGTCCCATAGACTGCTGTCTGATGACACGGCCTTAATAGCTTATGATGACCCGCCGCAGACCGCAAGGAGCATCCTCCAAGTGCAGCTTGACACAAAAGATCCCTGGCTAAAAAGATGGAATATGATGGTCAACATTGAGATGTCCAGTTACACCACCTTTGCATTGCGAAGAGAAAACTCTTCCCATGTTCAACTCGACGGGTGTACTAATCATTCCATTCAAGTCATTTGGATTGATGCTTGATCCAAATATGGACCTCTGAAATTTCAATCTTACTTACTGCCCGCTATTTCAGTTGTAACATTAAAAAAGTAATTGATAATATTTTTAAAATATACATCAATAAAATCACACAGAGAGGGAAAAAGAAGAAGAAACGCAAGAGAAAAAGAAACTTTCTCATGTCACCTAAACACACAGTTTCTCTGTTGCTGTGTAAAACGTCGAATGACATAAAAAACTCATGTGCATAGTTTCATCAATCTAGATCATGTCAAAATGAAGAGTGCGAAGAAATAGTGTCTTGAAAATAAGAAATCATGTGCAGCCTTAATTGATGAACTGACAATGTACAAATGAAGAGAGTTTGGCTGTTGGCGAGATTTCAGTTAAGGTCCAGTCGAATGGGTAAAAGAATTTTGGCTCATGGGTTGGCTTGTCGATTGGCATAAATAATTTGCGCGCTATTGAGAGAGGCAGCTGACAGCTGGTAGACAGGACGTGTCTTAAGCTGGCATTTGGCCAGGTGCACAGTTGTTGTTTGCGCAACAAATTAAAGTTAATGCGGCTCAGCAATAAGCCCCCTTGGCATGGGACACTCCAATCCTTTCCAGCCAACTGGCAGCGACAAACAAGTGCCAATCCCCTGCTTAGACACATTGTGACGACAACTGTCAGCATTTAAATAAGATTGATCGATTGGCATTCTCATTGTCATTGTTGCTAACGCTGTTTCTTTTTTTATTGTTGCTGCTGTGCGAGGCTGTTGATTTTCACGTACTTTGATTTGCATAGAACAGACTCCACCACCAGCTGAGCACTGCACAGTGTTACGAAAAGTTTTAACAAACTTTCCGCGAGTTCAAATTATAGCAAATGATTAAAATATGAGCTTGTCATTGATATCTATCTGGAACCTATATTAAGCTGTCTTCTATCTATTGTCAAATTGATTTAAATAACTAAATAGTTATTATGCTTAACTAGAAGTTGAGTTCGATTCTTGTGTATAGCTATTGAGCGTAGATAGATGAATAGTTTATATATTTATAGATGGATAGATAAGATTTAGCTAAAAAAATTGAAACTCAGCTATAGGGCAACTCATTCTCATATCTCATAATATCTCTTGTCAAGGAGTCTAATACATTTCTTAGAAATTCTTTAGTTCTTAGTTATATCAATATATTTAGCAATATATTTTACAGAATTCCATGAACAGCTGTATCTCTTGAGCTAAGCACCAACTCCAATTTGCATCTTAATTTGCCACCCATAAATTTTATATAAAATTCAGAAATATATCTTAAACTTTTTTCTAATCATTTCAATTATGAGCAAATTTGATTACAATTGAAAATCTTCTCATTACTCTCAATTAATGTCAATCCAAATGAATAGCTACAAACAACTCTTACTTAACTTTCAATTTGGAGAAGGTGCCTTCAGACCATGTGTTAACTCTTTCAATTAGGCAAACAATAAGCTGACACAAGACTTAAGTGATGGCAATTGGACCTGTGCTACACATCACCTACTGTTATGGTTCCATTTGTGACATGTTAGGGCCTCTGCTTTGCCCTCGGCTGTTGAATGATGAAGATTTTGGCCACTGTGTGCACGGCGGCTGCTGCTGTGCAATTGTGTGGCACAAATTGTTGGCACTTCCGTTTGGGCTTTGGGATTTTAGCTTGTTTACGGCCAAGCAGCGGGCAGTGGCTAACGGCTTTGAGCTTTGACACTAGGGGTGCATAACAAATCGTTTAGTGGCTGTCATTCAATGGCCAAAGCCTTCAGGCGATTGCCTATAAAAATTGCAGAGCTCCTTGGTGAAGGCATCAGTGGTCCGGCAGCCGTAACGCGTCGCGCATTAGACTCCAGCTCAGATCAAGCAACTAGTGTCCAGTGCCGTGTAGTGTGTCCTCTGTGGCGCGCAGAATAAGTACAAGCAACGCGACTCCTTACACTTGAGCAGTCAGCAACGGAACAGTTATGTATAGACTAAGTAATTGCACATTGCTGCTAATCGCAGTATCCTGTTACCTGGTCTACTCCAGCCAGGCCAAGGCCTTGCAGGTGAGTGTGCAGCGCGTTGGCGAAAAGGTTGAGTAAGCACAGCTTGACAAGCACCACTTAATAAGTTTTATTTGCTACGGCAAAGCAGCGCAACACGCTAACAAAGCTGCCAAAGTGAAAGCCATCAACTTGCCTCAAGCATCCAAATTCTGTATAAAAACTTTTGAGAAATCTCTCGCTCCCTGTCTCTCACTGCGGTCAAATGCGATTTTGGCCGCATTTTGGTTTGAGGTTTATGCAGCAGCATCTTCAACCAATTTCCCTCACCTGTCATTGCCAAATTTCCGCATAGCTAATTGTGCGCCACTGCAATGTCAATGCCATTCGAGTCAATTTATTTCCTTTTATTAAAGTCTTATGATTGGCAATCAATTTCAAACGTAATTATATTTCCAGCTCGTTGGCAAACGCATCTTTATGACATCAATTTTAATAATTTCATGGAATATTTATATATTACATAATTTGATTAAATTATTTACTGAAATACATTTGAATATATACTGTTTGGATCGATGAGTTGAACAGCCAAACGTGCAAGAAAATTTATATTTCGATCAGTCACCAAGTAATCGCAGATGTGAGCGAGACAGACTAAGTGCCCATAGATTATGGCTTATAGAGTACAAATTTAGTTTCGTGAATTTTCCATACAGCTTAAGAGCATCTCAGAGTGATAAACTGATACTCGAAAACTTTGTCTAAAAATATTGATCAATTACATACCTTAAGGGTTCAAAGTTCTCTTCTTGTATGCATAATAAAATAATAATAATAATTTGAATAGAACACCCTAAGTTATATTTGAGTGAGGCATGCATAGGAATCCCTCTTTTTGTTGACTTTGCCGTCTAAGGATATTTAGTTGTTGATTCAATTTAATTTTGCTTTAGTTTATGTCCTGTGATCTGGTTTATTGTGTTTGCATTTATGGCCAAGATACAATTTACAAGCCGATTTAAGGTGTTGGCATTTCAATTCACATTGAGTTGTCTAATCAAGCGTACTGCGCTGCCTGTCATGCTGTAAATTGAAACAATAAAGTGCTCGACTCACACATAATACCCACTCACGCACACACACTCTCACACACACCCGTGGAGACTTTGAGTGCGCTGTGTGTGTGCAGCTCACGTATGCGCATAAATAGGCGGCATAAAAATAACTTAACACGTGTCGACGGTTTGCCAGCAAGAGCGGCAGGAACGATATTGAAAGCGTTGCCGACGTTGCCGCAGGCGAAAGGGCCCCGAATCAAATATTTCAAATATTTTTGTTGTTTTCTTTTCGGTGTTGTGCTTCTCATGCCGCTTTGTGGCACTTCATTTGCACAGGGCACAAACAAACTGGATTTGCCAAATCGCATCAGCGGCATCAACGTTGGCTCTGCCAGCGTCGCAGCGGCGGCGGAAGCACGCCACAAGCGCGCAATGGGCGAATACAAAGAGCTAAACGACATCATTGACGACCTGGAAGAGAACGGCTTGGTGCAGAAGGGCGGCAGTGCGGCAGCGCCGCAAGCCCAAGCGCAGGAATTCGACCTGGATAGCATGCCGCCGTTGGCGTACTACCTACTGCTGCAAAAGCTTCGCCAGCGTAAGTATTGAGCACACGCTGCGTATGAGTAATGTGCCCTTATGACAACCGGCTAAGAAAGCATCTCAAGTATGCTCAGCTAGGAATTACGCGTACGCTTGAGAAAATTGATTTCTTTTTCAAGAATTTCGCATGTGACTCAAAGGTTTAATAGTTAAGTCATTTGCATTCTCAGACATTGCCAACTGACCTGAAATTTAATTTAATTTCACTTGTTTAGCACGGATATGGATATTCAATTTCCGACTTATAAAATAGTTTGCTTCAGAGTTATACAAATTCCTATTAAAGCTGAACTTTTTTCGCTTAACTTCATTTCATAAGGGAACTTTCACAATTTTCTCTTCATGCTCTGTGTGCACGTGTGTGTGTGAGTGTAACATTTACTATTCTTTCTTCTTGCTCTTGTTCTTCTCTCTGGCCGTGCAGTGCAGAGCAACAGCGAGCCAACATATCGCGTGCGCACGCCACGCCTTGGACGCAGCATTGACTTTCAGCAACTGTTGGATAGCCGAGCGGGCAGCGACGAGGCAGCTGGTGGCCAGTTTGTGTCGCGCATGATGAAGAAATCGGTGCCGTTCAAGCCGCGCCTGGGCAAACGTGCTCAAGTGTGCGGCAGCGGCGGGGATTAAGCCATGGCAGTAGCAGTTACAATATCATCCAACGCGACCAGGACGAACGGCAAGGACGAAGCCCCGGACAAGGTTGAGGCCAGCCATTGGCGCTCTGCCAGCTCAAATTAAACTACTCACACAACGTCGCCAAAAACGCTAAAGCAAATAATCTACTTACTCCTACAACATTCTCTATATACATATATATATATATATATATATATATATATATATATATATATATATATATATATTAATACATCTGTATATTTGTATAGCTAGGCCCAGAAGTTTTTAAAGAAATTCGTACTCGCGACAAAATATGTGTTTAAATAAAGTGCAGACCATTGAAAACTGAAACCTGTGCTGCTTCATGCGTTCATATCGAATATCAAAAGTTTCCCAAAATTAGAATAAATTAAGAGCTGTAGCCACACACAGAGAGAGCTGTCAATAATTGACCTCGAACTGTGGATTTTCGCCAATTTTTGCCAATTTTCGGTATATGTGTTTTATTTTTGGCATGGCAAAAGTAAATTAATGAAAAATTCATTACGCAATATGAAAAGTGTGAGAACAGCTGCTGCGCTGCGGTGACATCTGCAGCGCCCAGCATCGCGCCAGGAGCCATGTGCTCCGAGTGGCATATGACGTTTCCACAATTCGTGCTTTTTCGTTAACCAAAAGCCGGTGGCTTTATTTCAGCCTGATCAAGCACACATAAATTTTGTGCTGCTTGCACAGATTGTATGTGTTTCTGCACACACTGTATAAATACATATCAATATGCAAGCTCTGATTCACATTATCATTAATTGCATTCACATTTAAGCAGCTAATTGGTAAACCAGTTGATTTAATTAGCTATGAAGCATAGTTATAAAAAAACTAAATAAAATAAAATTATTTCCTCACTCTCTTCTGACTGACCTATGAAATAGGAAAAGGAAATGGAATAAACTAATAAAGGCTTTGAAGCTGGGCTTATATTATGCTGCCATTATGTATTCACTTTGCTAGCAGTGCTTCAAACGCAAGTTCTAATTAGGGATATAATAATTGCTATGTTATTCCTACACTAGCGCCTCGAATTTTGGCTTAGAGTTCCAAATTGCACTGACGTTGTCCCGGCCAAATAATTGGTCATATGATCACAGCTTTTCATTGAAGAGCGTTTGTTCTGAGACGATTGGGTTACCAAATTAATCCATTTTATTAATTCCACACATTCGGCAGGCGTAAGATGAGTTTTGATAAAATGGCAAGGCGTATTGAGTATCTCAAGACTTACGCCTAATTGGACAGCTAATAGACTACTCAAATATGGTTTTTGGAGATACTATCACAGCTGCCTGGTCACTATAGTTAAAATTGGCAAAACCTAAATAAAATTGCCTATCTTATGGGACTATTAACTCTTCACTATAAGTCTGTCTATAAATGAAAAACCTTCAATATGGAATACTTAAGAATATAGTATAAATATCTATATATATATAAGTATAGCAATCAACTACATCTAAGGTACACTCTATGCATTTATAGAGTTCATAGCTCTCATTTTTCGAATATGTAACAAAAATTGCCCGAAAATCTCAACTAAGGTTAATGCTGCCAGAGATATTCTTAGTTTCATAAAGCGTATTTTATATGTTTACATTTGTGAACTAGATGAATTCTGATATGCTCTTCAAGCATATCTCGCACGCAATGTGAAAAATAATAAAATCAATTTTTGTTCCATTTCTTAGGTCAAAGTTTGATGCAAACGTGTTTTAACAGAGATTTGGTTTCAAGTTCGTTTAGTGCAAGCTTGTTTGACTGCAAATAAATACACAAATAAATAAATTATTTATAATAATACAAAAAGACTATGGCACGGGAAAATAATTGATATTTAAATAGAATTTAAGAGGCTTAAATTCATATTGAAGGTGTTGTGCAATTCGAGAATATTTAAATTCTGAATCCATAGAACGAGGCAAATCAGTTTCGTAGAAATTCAAATAACAGGCAGAAGTAGGCGTGGCAGAGCAAGTGTATACATTCGTGAGCAGCATCGGCAGCCGAGTCGAGCTTTGCTGTACAACCGAAGCTAAAGAGTCAAAATTACATTTTTTATTAAATAACAAGAGTCAAAATTACATTTTTTATTAAATAATAAGTATTTTTAAAACAAGCGAAAACGTGTATAAAAGCGCATAACATTATATAATCATTATTTAATTAAATAACAATAATTAAACGCATTGCGAGCTTAACGTAAAACTGTGCATATCAAACTGTACTGATCAAACTTTTTGTAGCAGATAAAAGGCGTTCGTCCATGTTTAATTGAATGTCAACGCGATTATGTTAAGCTGCCTGCTTCTGACTGCATATATCGATTTTGGCTCACATATGTTTATAATGTATGTGTGGGCAGCATGCGCTGTTATATAATGCAATGATGCTCAAGAAAGTCGTAGCTTAAGTACATGCACAGTCGACTAAGTGTGACTGCACAGCGACTTGAGAGTGCATGGAATGTTTAGGTGTGGGCTGAGCAGGCTCGTCTGATGGAAAAGCCTGAGCAGCTTGAGTTGCGTATCTTAATTGGCGAATGTAAAACTTGTGCCAGTCGGGTTAGCCTAAGCTTAAAGCTATTGATTAGAGATGACTCTGCCCGTACCAATTAGTTGGATGCCAAGACTTTAAGTTACAATCAGTTAAGGGGAGAGCCATTGTCAGTTGATGTCTGGCTCAATTATAGGCTGCCATTTGGCCAGAAATGCGGGCGTTAAAGGTTAACGGGTCAAATTAATCCGCTCTATCTCCGACAAATGTATGACAAATGCCGCAGACGTCACGTAGTCGTCGCTCCTCAACAAATGGGCAGCCGACTCATGGAGCACCTAATAGTATCTATATATATATTTTAGTTGAATCGTTTCTAAAATGGCGCTAATGGGCACGCAAGCCGCACACAAATACGCCAAAACTCACACTCACGTACGCTCACCCGAGATATTGAAACATTACAGCTGCAAAATGGTAATAAACTTTGGACTGCCTCCTGGGCAAAGAAGGCCGCGACAGAGCGAGAGACACACACAGGGCTTGCGACGGAACTGGCAGGAACTTTGCATGATAGCCGTAAATTTACAACTGGATCGTTGCGTAAGGTTAAGCAGGCCCCAAACATCAGCTGCTACTGTGCCGGCTTCCTGTTTGCGACGTGTCCACACACACAGAGACACACAGAAGCTCACTCATATAATCACACATTCGCATAGGCATACAGCTGAAACATGATAAGTTTTGCGTGTTTATATGCGTGTCGGTGTGTCTGTGTGTGTGTGAAACAAAATCACTTTGCCTGATTAAATGACGCAAACCAGCATGAGCAGAAGAGGCAGCAAAAGTAGCAGAAGCAGATATTCAGTTAGCATGCACCTTGCCAAAACGAATGCCAGCCATTACGGTGAATTGTTAAAAATGCCTGGCTAATATAAGACAGCCCTGCCAGAGCTGTGCATTCGACCCTTATTTATTGTATTTAAGCAACTGATTTAAATTGATGGCCGCATTTGGCAGAGGCCTCCTTGCCAGTGGCTTGGCACTCACTTAATCAAATTTCAGCCATGTAAAAAGCTTGTGAATGGCTCTTAAATGTATGTGCATGCCACATACGTGAAAGGAGGTTATTAATTTCATTTACCCCGCACTTGTGGCCATTTTGATGACCGCACTTCTTCCCCCTCTTCGCTGCCAAACGATGCTTATCAAAGTTTCGCATCAGATTATAATTGCTGCCAATACAGATCTGTGTCGCTCGATTGTGTGAGGCGTGCGCTCGATGGAGCTGATTCTACAGCGACCCAACTCACTCTGAGCATGCTTTAGCCAGGCACAGATCAAAGCTCGCCCAATCGGCTTATTTACAGGCAAACAACTAAGAATTGGCAAATTGTCACGAATAATTTGGCTTATTTACTATTAACGAACTTAAAGCTCCGCGTATTAAAGCAAATCCATTATAGTCGTAAAATGCCTTAAGGCCGTGAGCAGAACAATTAATTGTTCCAAACAACTTTTTCTACGGTTTCCTTTGGTTGCCTGAAAACAATTTTGACGAGCTGAAGCCAAAGCAAATTTTGTTCAACTCGAAAGCTAAAATAGTTGGGAAAATGCTTTCATCTGTGAGAAATAATTATGCGTGATTTTAAATTCGAAGGAATTTTAATAATTTCATTAATTAAAAATAAATTCATTCAATGATTACTGAATTGGTAAGCCACACGCTTGTGCTTTGAATATTTGCTGTCAGCTGCTTTATATGTTCTAATGGATTTATAAATAAGTCTTATATGGTATAATCTAACGCATTCCTCGAGAATTTAAGCTCATGTTAAAATGGGATAAAGGCAATGGAATAATCTAGCTTTTCTAGTTAACTCTGCTCTCTGCCGATAATGTTGTGCTCCACTTCAGGCTATTATCTTCAAAAGAGCTATTCAAGTCTATTTAGATTACCGAGAAAAACAAGAGTTCACTGCGCAATCAAAGATTTCGGCAAACACTGTTGAAACATTCAACAATAGCTGTAGCGATAGCTTAGGACAGGTAGACGCCTTTGGCACTTAGCTTTATGAAACTTTAACGAACTCTTTCGGGCTCTGTGCACAAGTTGTTTGCAGGTCGTGGGTTTGCAGTGTGGCCTGGTTCGTTTTCAAATTGCAAATTCAGCACTTGTATAACGCCACACACACAGGCACACACACACACGACACACGCGCTGCTGTTGGCCCCCTGAGTAGCACTTCCGGCTGTTGCAAAGGCAAGCTAAACCGATCGAAACTCGAATTTTGGGCAATGCGCACAATAGCCATGGCTTTGACATTGGCAGCTGCATCAGCAGTGCCGGCAGCACTTGTCCTCGTAGCTGTTGTAGTTGTCATCGACATAGCTGGCATTGCGTCAGCGTGGCAGCAAAGCATGCAATACTTTGCGCCTCAGCCAATGATTCTGCATATTTCTATTCGCTCTGTGCTGTGTGTGGGCGAAATCAGAGTTTGCACATTAAGGTGCGTGACAGCCTCTTTTGACTCGGCCATCAATCATCAATGTGGCCATAGCAATTTGGCCAGATGTGGCAAATGCTGGGGCAGGACTTTGTTTAATTTGTGTCAATTAGGG